ACATCATACTTGGAAAATTGAAAATCAATTAAAACAGTTATCTGTCAAATAAAATCTTGTAATCACATGAAATGAATAGCTATCGTTTACATCACAACTTGACCACATTCGGTGGCGTTTGTGTTTCACACAGATTTGCGTTATTTTGGAAATTCTAATCTACTTGTTTTTCGAATGGTTCAAATTCGTCATCAATGTATAATGATGAGGTATATCTAAGAAGAAATCTGAATATATTTCTGATCATTTTTATATCCAATTTTCTTGTGTAACTGTTGGAGTTACTATTTATAAACTATATAAAAACTCACAGAAAATTTACCTCGTCATTTCACCGGAAGCATAGGCAGAGACTAAGTACTATACAAGCGTATATCTGTATAGGCCTTATCATACCCTGAAGTACAAATTGGTGATAAATTGGAAAATGAAAATAGAAGCTGATTGAGAGCTTTTTAGAGATTAAGCGGGAACAAACAAATTAAGTTGTCTTGATTCTCGAAGAGAGAAAGAAGGATTATGGGAAATTCTGGGCTCTCTCTGATGAAGAATAATCCGACTTTGATGGCTGTTCCTTGATAGCTTAGGTAAACATGGCGATGTATAGTCGTATCCCCCTTAATCCAGGTGTTGGTTTGCACACATTTGTTGTTGAGGCTCCCGAATGCTCCTTCAGTTATCACTCAGACATACTGATAGCAGCCAATGCCGACTTATCGACATCCTTATACTTATCGTCAATAGGCTATCTGGACTTTCCCTAGCATTGAAAGGTTTGTTGCTCTAAGCTCTCTTCTTGAGTTCTTTGATTGTATTCTATCAGCAGGCCAAAGATCGTTTTTACTTCAAGATCTCCCATTTCCACAACTTTCTCTTTTGTCGCAAAACTTGAATCAGGACGCTTATAAGACAAATATAAATCTTCAAATTAATGATTGTTAACCGTTTTGTTTTGTATGTTCAACACTCTAGAAAACACATATTTGTCTTGTCTGTTCAAAATTTTTTATTATTTTCCGAGTTTCATTTGCAACTCTGCTATATCTTAAACTGATATAATTACTTCTAAAAGCAGTCATAAAATTACCCAAAACTATTGCTCCAGTTTATTTTACTCTGCAAGAAGGATGCAGGTTAACATAATAACACAAACTTGAACACTTCCAAAAATTACTAGAGATTTCAGCATTTGTCAACCGTAATGATACGTATACAAACATTACCTATCAAAATCTTAGTCCTTATACAAAAGAAGTGACAATTAATGTATTTGAAGGTGATTGGTGACGTCAATAAAACATTGTGACACATGTAATTTTGTACATGTAAAATATCAACAAAATTCAGAATGGAAACTAGAGATCCAAAACCCAAAGCGAGACTGGAATTTAATGACCCTACTTGGCGTTTTGTATGGATATTTGATAACTTGTAATTTGAGTTTGATGGTCCGCCCGTTTGGTGAATGTCCCCGCACGTAGAAATGGTTTCTGCTTTACTGGCTTTAAGACCTTTGAAGCTTTTATGATTTCATAGTATTGAATTTACGAACATTTTCGGAACTTTAATCTGAAAAATATTGCATAGCATCTCTTCATCTAGGGACATGTGGGGCACGCCCCCTTCTTAAAGAAATGTAAATTTGTATGGGGTGAAATACATAAAACTTGCACTGGTAGCAATTGCCGATTGTGAAATGTTGGAGTTAAAATTTAATTTTATGACTCTTAGGCCAACCGACCGGCCTTATTTGTCTTATTCAGGTTTGCCCTTCAAATGTTTCTTAGTGAAATACGAAGAATCTCTAAGCACGGTTCTTAACACGCATACAGACTCCCAAGGGTATCCGTTACGAACCCAAACAAAAGGATAAATCTCGGATGTAACTCTATTGTGAGTTACTTGCAGCCAAATCGTTGTATGTAATAACTTTCTCTAGATAAAATGGAAACTCACAAGGAAATATACATAAAGGTTTCTAATGCCCTACTTTGAAATTCAACATTCTCTTTTGTATCGAACAATCTCTGATTTTAACAACCATCATAAAATAAGGATCAAGTTATTCTTGAATTAAAATACATATACCGGTGCAATGTGTGAGGTAAATCATAGCATACCTACAAAAAGTGAAATATTTAGATTAACTTTACAGGCGTTGGACTGTACGTTTTATCTTATCTTGAAAATCTAACCCCACTTGAAAAAATATATTATTGGTATGGGTAGGAGTGATAAGAAAATGACATAAGGTCAAGTGCTGTGTTAAATGTTCAAATGATTTATGAATACCAAAAGATAAAGATGCAGTTTTAAATAAAATTCTTAAAAGTGACAACGAGTTTTGTTTTGTCAAAAAAAAAAAATGAATTTACATTTTAATGTAAATTGAGTTGCATCGATATTTAACTGAAAAGTACATGTCACTTCTCTTCATACTTCTAGTTTCCAAATCAGTGTCGCATGGCAATTTGAAATTCATCTTTTAAAATTTTGCTTTGTGTTAATATAACACCTATACTGCAAAGAGATGTTTACTTTTTTCTAATCTGCGGAGAAGTTTCACACCTATTCTCACATAATCCGTCCATATGCGCTATTTGGATGTCGCAAGCAATTTAAATTACATTATTATTAAAATAATTGGTAAATTTTGTAGTGTTTTCGTTTGTGATACGTCTAGTTACCAAACCAACATCGTTAAGTGTTAATACACAGGTTAAAACTTCCCTGGGATCCAAGTATATAGTCTAATAAATGGCTTCTCGATCTGTCGCTTAGGCAAAAGGCAAAGTTTGGACCAATGAATAAAACAAAACAATTACATTTTATGCTAAAAAGCACGACTTTTACCTATAACAATGCATGAATATATTGATTTTTAACACTTTTAGATATTTGTCTACAGTGAAATTTTTAAAAAATATATAATAAGTTTGTCGCTAAATTTCTGTAATTTACGTTATCAAAATCTTAGTATTTGTGTAAACAGCATAAAAGGGTATCTAAAAACATAAAATATCTACTAGAGTATCCAACAAAGTCCATAAAATGCAATCTGAAACAAAGAAAAGTTATATGACAGAATACTTACAGAAACACATTGGTCTTTTAACCAGAGGTTAGTGGTTCGTTTTAAGGATGTATTTTACGTTATCAACGATACTTAAAGAATACAAGTAAAATTTTCTTTGCATATTAATTTATTTCTTCTTCCTGACCTACCAAACACGTAAAATATTAAAACGAACATTGATCTGTGCGACTACACATTTTACACCAATTAATCTGATAGAAAGTAATTTACGTTATGTAATTTACGTTATCAGTATAATACATATATGGTACCTATCTTGCAAATAAGACGTCGGGACAATACGGAACCATGCAGGAAACGTTATTGGTTTCTTCTCGAAAGCATCTTAACATAACCGAACTTCCGATGTAGATCTGATGCAGGAAGCGCCATCAGATAACGTAAATTACGTGTTACCTTTAAAAACTTTCAAATAATTCCTCAAAGATGTATTTTTGGCGTGAATTTCAGTTGATTTTACAAACAAGGTGTACTTCTATTTATTTGTAGCAATATTTTACGCATAAATCTCTCTTCATTGATTACTTGATGAAGCAAAACATTCATAACGTAAATTACAGTAAAAATAACATAAATTAAATATAATTTAATTGCCTTTCTCCGTAATTATATTTCATAGATTTCATTTAACAGAGATTGTAAAGTCAAAAGCAGAAATTAAAAAAGCATATGGGGAATAAAAGAAGAAAAAATAGGGAGAAGCATAACTAGAGAAAGATAGGAAAAAATACATACCAACAGCAGATCTTATATTGTCATTATATTTAACTGTGAATCTCTCAAAAGGATGAAAAATAATCAGTGTTTGTGGCATTTTGTGGGCAATTGAAAATACTACATGTCATTAGATGGATGAAAATAAGTTCAAGAAAATATTAATTTTTGGTTTGAATACCATTAAAATTGTAATTTACGTTATCAATATATTTCTTTAAGAAAAACCAATTTAGAATTTTCACAGTCTCTTCCCAAATTAAATTTTAAAATCCTCTTCTCTTATGATTCATAAACATAAATTAAGTCGCACAGGAATTCAGCTTAAACATTTCTAGTAAGAAGGAACAGAATTATTTCAGTTGAAAAATAAGATTAAAGCAAATAAAATTTGTTAATTACAAATTAAGAGAAAAACACTGGTAAAAAACAAAATTTTCGAAGTATTTTTATTAGTACAGACATAGTGCTAAAAAATCCAAGTGAAACTGAATATTCATTTTGACAATAAAACGGTTTTTGACGGGTTCATTTCGACGTAAGATAATAACGTAAATTACGAAGGTAAATACACTACCTATATTGCATAGTGAATATTTTTGTCATCATGCATGGTTGAGTTCTGATATTTTGAAAAATAATTCTCCCATGTTTTGTTTCCTAAAAAACATCGACTTCTCCCCCAAATAATGACTTTATTTTTTTAATGAAAGTTAGGCTGCATGTGGACGGATTATGTGAGAATAGGTGTTCAGCCAACTTAAAGCTACATAACGCTAACAATATGCATTCAGTAAAATCAGACTGATTCAAATTCATATTGCTATTTTATAATGGTGAGAATTAAATTTTTGAAGATATCGTCTATCATTTTTCATCCCTGGAAGTTTTAATGAGCAATAAAATTTTGAAAATGGATATGCATGAAACCTAAGGTAGATTTTATCTATTACAGATAGAGGAAAATTTCCTTAACCGTTCTTAACTTCGATGGACAATGGGCCGACACGCTCAAATTTTTCTTCTATACAAAACTAGGTCCTTCACAAAGAGCGCCAGCAAAGCTTTAAAATGCCGATCATATATTCATGCGATGCTTGGTGGGCTATAATAGATAAACTATTAAAGCTGAATTCAATTTAAATTAAATGAAATGTTACAATCGCTCGCAACCTCGGGTCTTCTAAACATAACATACCGGACAATTTAAATCGACAGAAGGAGATATAGAGAAGCAGAGATTTAAGTCGCGATTCTACAACACGATATGGATGGATTCTGTAAATGATATTCATGTATCTCCAGAGAGTGGCTGGCATAGACGGTCTGCCGACTCATTGAAAGGGGGGTCCTGATCCGCGGAGGGGTTCGACAAGGATCACATGTTACCCGGACCTCATTCAACCGTGCTTTGTCACGTCAGCCATTTTGCGTCCTCATCGACTGGGTTTATAAATTATAGAAACCCGACACCAACCATTTAACCGAAAAACACCCTGCGTGCTTGGATCGCGGCTACTGTTACAAAATAAATGGGGATTAGATATTACTGGTCGATTTGGGCTGCCATTTTGTTCGGTGCTAAATGATTCCCTTATTCTGTGGTGTTAAATGTTTTATAGAATTTGCCGAACATTGTTCTGGGGACCTTTTAGAAAAGAGCTGCAGCTATCAAGATAAAATCTGCATATGTTCTCTTGAACTTTCTTTTGGATTTTATAAAGGTAACGTATTCCTTTGATTAGCATGCAATCTTTGTATTTTGAAAAAAAATTTAAAACAAATGTACTAGAATTTAAAAAAAAAAAGAAATCTGACTTGGTTTATACCAGAACATTTTGTTATTGCTGCTAATTAATTTGGGATGAACTGAACAAGCGATTTTTTAAAATGTAAATCATTTTCCCCATGCAATTCCTGCAGTAAAAGTTTTAAATATTGATCATTATCTTTTATTGAATTGTGTATAATTCAAACTTAGGTATTACTCAACATACCTTGGTTCAAATTCTGTCAATGTGGAAGAGGTGCAACCGTATATTATTCATTTTCCCATGTCTACATGTGAAAACAATGAATTTTCATATAGAGTTTCCTGTTATTAATTTGATACCATAATGCGTATTGTGTTATTATTTACATAACTTTAAATAACTTATGAGATCAAGTGTTTTAAGCCAAATCTTCAAAAAATCTCCGAGTGTTTGATGTTGTAGATTTCCTCCATTCTTATACAGGTGTATGTAACACACGTAAAAAGTTCAACTGCGTTGAAATTCTGCCAGGTTGAAGAATTGTAACAAATCTCTTTTGTTTGGTCTGCTATGGTCAATTAGGTTGTTTCTCAGATAAAGCGATATCCTTGTTATTCCGAGATATTAGAACCTACACTCCGTGAAATTCCGAACCCGACCTTCATAGCCTTATGATTGCCTTTTTTAGCATTTATCAGATATATGCAGTGAAAGAATTTTAATGAAGTGTATTGTTCTTAGAACATTGCAATTTGTTTGAAATATGTTAAAATGCTCTTTAAATTCTAATGAGCTCTCTTAAATTCTAAGGCAAGATTTTTGGACAAACGGTTTTCTGATGAAAAGGTTATGTACATGTACATATTTCCCTGTAACATATTCTAGTTTTTTATAAAAAAGAAATACATGTATACCAATTGTTTACTTCTATGCCATATGAAGAATTGAATGTCTTTTTATTTATCTTATAGACGCATGTTAATCTAATTATTCTTTGTAAATCAAATCTTTGATTAATGCATTCCTTGTATTAAAGATGCCTTTTACAGCTTGCTTAACTAAGATTTATAAGGAAGTGTAATTAAGGGTTAAATAAAGCTGAAGCACCTGATGAAGATTTGGCTAACGCCCATTATATTCCATCAGTACATTTCCATAAAGAAAATATTAATATACACAAATATATGAATATTTCCATATCCAATTTGCAGATTATGTAAATTTCTGCATTGCAATTACTTTTTTTTTTTTTTTTTTAGTTTTTCTCTGCCTTTCTGACCTGTTCATTTTCAATCTTCTTTAATTCAAAAGTTGTCAAACACAACAGGGTTCAGGACAATTTGACAGAACAGCATTAACCAATTGTTTTGTTTTCTGTACGACGTGTAGCCCTCCTTTTGATGGCGGTAAACAATACTATTATACCCGCTGAAAAGACGGTAAATTGAAGAACTCTCCATGTTTTGGAGATTGAAAAGGTCATTATTCATCTTGCCGGGATCAATGTCAGTAAAGGGTCAAACTAAAGCCTCATTGTGACAGGTTCATTAAATTCCCATTATTTCTATCATAAAAGAGAACATTTGAAGTCCGTCTAATTCTCATGATCTGGGGATTTGAGTGGTGCATCTTGGGAATTTATAATGATGGTCCAACAGAGTGTCTATTGTTGGTCCACACGGTGGCAAACGGTCACTGTATGCTTATATGACCATAACCAAAATTAACTACAAACACATGTATTGAAAATATTTAATCAGTGCCTTGGGGTTTGGACATGCAACTACAAAGTATACCACAAAAAGAGGTAAAACCGATCCTGGATAATTCGTGGAACTGGGGGTGCTTTTTAGGTCTTTCAGACGCATTTAACTGTTTAAGAATCATAAAATATACCCTTTTTTGATTAGTTTGATTACTGTCCGCAGAGTTTGCGTAAATGAAAGAGAGACGTTTAAAACACATTTAACACCATGTATATTAGGTATATACTTCTTCTGGAGTATTGTTTTTTTTTTTTTGTTTTTTTTTTTTTGTTTTTTTTTTTTTTGTATGTCTATTCCACTGGCGGATTAAAGGGAGGGGGGTTCAGGGGACCCGCCCTACCCCCTTTTCGTGACCAAAAGCATACATAAGAATAATAAATCAGTTTTTTTATGGGATATTGCATTAATTATACTAAAATATAACTAAAAATAAATTTAAAAACTGGTCCATAAAACTTCTAAAACCTGAGAGCTTCCTGGGACTTTGCCCCCTAGGCCCCAACCTGACCCTAACGGGTGCCCCTCCCTTTCAAGTATCCTGGATCCGCAACTGTATTCACATCAGCTTTGAAACAAATGCAAAGCTCTGCTCTTTTTCTTGTATTTAAATGCTTTAATGCTTTATTGTATAATAAACTATGATTTATCTAATCTTATTGATTAACTAATTAAACTAATAAGCTAATAAAGCTGATAAACTAATTAGTTTGATTTATCTAAACTAGTAAGTTATTTTAGAAATTGTTTCCAATCCTTTTGATATAATCAATAAAATATGTTCAAAACAATGCTTTACACATATAAATGTAGGTATACCTCATGTGCCATTTATGTAGCTCAGCGAGAGAAAAACTGTTTTGAACTGAACTTGTCAAAATTTAGTATGTATATACAATCAAGAATACTGCTAAGAATTGATACACACCATTATTCAGAGAACAATTTACTTTAAAATTATTTTTTAAAAACATTCTTGAATATAAATTGACCGCACTTGTTAACTGTATTTTTTTTAACCATTGATTTATTTTTTTCTTTGTGAATGTTCTTTTTTCACGTGAGAATTTTTTTCAATATAGCTATATGTTTCGTTCTCAATAAAGCGGCTGTCACGAAAGACGGCATATTCCCGATGCGTTTCGGTGACCATGAATTATTACATATTATTATATCTTAATTGAATTCTTTGTCATTACGCTGTGGCAAATCTATAAGAATTAATGCATTATTCCATACAGTTAGAGTTTGGCACGTTCGTTCGCTAGTGCACACTTACGCGTTCTATAATTGACCACCTACCGAGCCGGTCAGTGTCATTGTTAATTGTGGCATTGAGGCGTTAATTACAAAGTCCAGTGTATGCTCTTTAATTCTTCTGTGGCATACCATCTGATTTAAGTATTAATTAACTGAAGGTTCTTTGGTATTACAGATCTGGAGTTTCCATTTTAAAGAGAAAAAAAACTTTGTCAAGGTTTTCACCACACTAGGAAGATGGTCACATCTGTTTGAAGGCTTCCAGGTATTTATATATTTGTACATGTGAAATATTATCTTGCATGATTTCAAGAATTATCAAATGATCTTAATGACATTTCTGTCACTTTAATGATTTTTAACGATTTGGATCGAATATAATTTCATAACATTTTGATTAACTGATTTGTTTCGTTGGGGTACTTTAATTTCGAAGACATAAACGTTTTGCATCAATTTGGATGTCACCCCTGGAGTTAAAATACAATTTTCCTCCCATTTAAGCCAAGTTTTTCATAAAATTTAATTTTTGGTTAGATTCAGTTTAAGAAAAAAAAACAACAACAAATAGTTATTTGAATTTCCACCCCATTATATTTCCACATTTTTATCTGCCTTATAAATTCTATATCTCTTGAGTAAACACCCGCCTGTAGATCTACTCATTGTAAGATTGTTATGGCTCCTTATCACCTTCAATTGTCTTGTGTGTATTTTCGGGGGTGTTTATAAAGCACTTATTACCAACACAAGTACCTTATCACTTCTGTTTAGGGGGTTTAAAAATTGTAACTGTAATTGTAGAGAGGGGCACTTGACTTTGAGTTAAAGCTAAAGCATTTAAACAAAGTGTGGATTTTTTTTTTTGTTTGCTTGTTTTTTGGGGGGTTTTTTATGTCAAAGAATTTCAGCCTCTTGATTTCTTTAGTGATGGAATACTTTTTTGTATATATAATGTTTGTATCAATGCCACCGGACATAAACAAACACTTCTACAAAATGTTCATTTCTTTTTCTTTCAAATTGTCCAAAGGTCATATTGTCTTACAAAGCATCATAGAATTATTTATTGTAATGAAAAATAAAATATCAATTTATTAAAGGTAGTAAGTATAAATTAACTCATTGATTTAGTGTTTAATATATTCAAACAGATTTTTTGCACATGTTTTTATTGAATAATTTGAAATAAAAGGATCCATACAATATATAAATATACAATGTATAAATTAAGTTAACTACATGTATATTTAATTTATTTAATAAAGTCTATCTGAGGCCTTACAACCTTCAATAGAGACCCAGTGATTATAACCACGCTAAGTGATAACTGCAAATTCATGTCAGGTTATCATTCCTATGCAATATGTAAAAACAAATACCATGTTTAATTAACTTGTTTTATTAGTTAATATTTTCTATACATGTATGTATGGGGATTATTATGCGAAGAACTACTCGGAAGGAATTTTTTGTTACCATATAACGCAGAAAAAAAATTCAACAAGATGAATTGCAAACACATAAAAAATTAATTCCGTGGTTTTGAAAATCTTTTATGTCTATTCTATTTAGTGAATTTTGCCTAAGGCTGATAGATGACTTTTTGAAACTCTCTATGTAATACATTATATTGACAAGTCTGAACACTGCAAAGCATAATTAATTAATTCACACCCATTACTTTCATGCTGTGACAAAAACTTCATTATCAAAACATTATTGACATCACCTTTTCAGTATTAGCATAAAATCGACTTAGCGTCATATTATAAAGAATGCGAATGTTAAACAACTGATATATCCTTACGCAATACTTCACTGGGTTTAAGGAGTATTCTAAGCCTTGTATTGTATATTGAATAATTTTTGTAAGAATTGTGGACTGAATAGGGTCAGTCAATAACATCTAGCAGCAGGGATCTCGTTTTACAGCTCTGAGTAAACCAGTCATTATTATAAGATGTATGCCGGGTGGGCGGGGCTTCTTCGATTAATACCTGGAACATGCGCGGTAGAGGTGTATTTGTTCGACTGGAGAATTAAAGGGTTTTAATGCTATTCTGTAGAGTGATAGGAACTGCATATCGGAAAGGATGAACTGTAAACAGAAAAAAAAGAAACTTGTGTGGGTTTTTCTGCAATTAAGGAGAAAATAATGTAGGGGCATTTATTTACAGAAAGTCAACGTTGAAGAGAAATCCTGGAGTGTGGTGTCGACGAATCCCGTGGAGTGTGGATCGTTCAGTGTCAGTCAGTGTTTGTCGCACATCTCCGGGAGACAGTCGGAGAGGTCTGAAGATTATCACAACTTTACGGAGATTTGAGACACTGGATTATTATTCTAGAGACAGTCTGCTGTGTCAGTGGACACCACTTCCTCCAAGTTTCCTCGCAAGCTTCACAGGTACTAATGAAGAGCTAACAAGGACAGCTGTGACAGATACAGCGCATACTTAGCGGATCTTTTCAGTGCTAACTTTGTCAACGGTTCTATATATATTGTACATATAAATAAGAGACGTTCATGCTGATCTTAAAGCTGTAGAAGGAATGATTAAAGCCGAGTGTCAGATAGTGTTATGAGAAAATTTCATTCTGTCATCATGGCAGGACTTGCGTTCACTTTAGGTTTCGTTCTCGGGATGATGCTGCAGCTTCCGGTGATAACCCTTCCTTTGGAAGAACAAAACTTTGAAAAAACTGACTCCAAAACTGGCATTCGCCATGAATCTGTAGGCTCGGCGAGAAAACAGCTTTCGCTGGATAATCCATTAAGACTTGTAAAGCCTTCCTCTTATGGAGTAGTGTATCCTCTGAACAATGGTACGAACTCGTACTTACAGGGACAAACGGATTATAGCGGATCACAACAATCGGACGGTTCCTCTGGCGCTTCACCTGCAATAGAATCCGTCATTAGGAATCGTGAATCAGCAAAACAACCAGATGTGCTGAACGGGATTTTCTGGTCGGAAGCCACGGAGAAAAAATGTCCGGGTGGGTTTACCGAAAAAGAGCAGGAAGATTGGAAGAGTAAAATAAACAATGTTAAAGTTGTGAAACTGGAAAATGGATGCGGAAGGATGCAGAACCGGTTAGCTACTTTCAAAGATGCATCCCGTGCTTGTGTTAGGTACAGAATGAATACAGATCAAATACAGGGTGATATTTTCTCATTTTATCTAAGTAAGCTCTTGGGAATAAGTAACGTTCCTCCTTCTAGCTTACATTTAGTTAATACAATTGATGACCGATGGAGGACGGTAACAGGTGAAATTGCAAACAGTAAGTGGGCAGACGATAAAGTTGTCATTTTTACACAATTTGTAGAGGGACTAAAACCATCTCATATTCCGTTTGAATTTCGAGAAGAAGATCGAAAATTACATCCTAAACAGGACCTAGGCAACTCAAAAGGTCCTGAAGATCTGTGTGATTTAGTGCAATGGTCAGACTTACTGATATTCGATTATCTGACGGCAAATCTAGACCGCGTGGTGAATAACATGTTTAACCGTCAGTGGAATCCAAATATGATGAACACTCCGGCACATAATCTGGAACGGACGTCCAATGGACGCCTAGTTTTCTTGGACAACGAGTCGGGACTGTTTCATGGTTATCGTTTGCTGGACAAATATGCTTCTTATCATAAAAAGCTCTTGGACGCTCTCTGTGTCTTCAGAAACTCCACAGCGCGTGCCATAGAGCGCCTTTATCGTTCCGGAAACGCGGGTGAGGAACTTAACAAACTGTTTTCCCAACATGAAGAGCTCTCTAACCAGATTCCACGTTTCCCTCAGAAAAATGCAAAAATTTTGCAACAAAGGATAGCGGACGTTTATGAACAAATTCAGATGTGCAAGAAACAGTATGTGTAAAAACTGAGTTATAAAGTCTTTATTTCTTTATAACATTCATTGGGAGGTTTCAAACCTTAAATTATGTGCAAATTTAACGCAATTCTTAACGGATGCCGTCTGTAAAGCTTATGCATACATTACAGCATTCTTTTATTATGTGTATCTTGCCATACAATCAAGAAAGCCCATTTCTGTGCCTTTCAAAAAGGACACCTTATTTTAAAAAGTGCTAATCATGATATTTTATTGCAATATTACCATATTTTAAATGTTCATGTTTTTCATCCTCATAAAACTCTCATGTTATGGATTATCATTGTTAAACTTTCATCGTTATGATAAAGTACAAAAAAGCTTAAAACTGTTTGTAGTTTTTACTGTACTTAGTATATTAAATCGGTTTTACTCTCACGACAGGGGTGAAACCAACGACCCGATTAATCGTCCAAGTTGTTAAAATCTGTACACATTTTTCAGATTTCTCAGCGAACCAGAAGAGATGATCAGATAAACAAGAAATCTCTAATTCTCCTGGAGATTTAAATCAGCAGTCCCGACACCTTTTTCTGTATTATGTTTTATAATGCTGCAGGATTTTTCTTCTTTATTATACTTGGGTAATCATTAAGGATTTTGTCGGAATTAACTTTCGTCTGGGGTTGGGTGGCAGCTTAGACACTCCGCATTGAAAAGGTGTCACTTCTAGGCGGCCATTTTGTTAAAGTTGTCATAGAAACTATAAAATCCAAACGTTATGAAACTTGTTTATTGATAATGGTTATTATTAATTTAAAAGGTGATTTCTCTGTAATTGTGATATTTCTCAATAAGTAGCTCATTTTTGTTTAAAAAAATACAAAATAATTGTCTTTTTTTTAAAATACTTTTTCCCTTAAGATCTGCAAGCTGTCATGATTTATCTTTTTAAGACCTATAAGTTAGATCAACTTTATAAAGTAATCCGTCCATAGTAAGCTCTTAAATTGCAGTTTAATCTGAGTTACTGATTTTTAAATAAATTTATTTATCTATTTTGTCTTTAACTACAAGCACTTGGCGTTTTAAACATTTAATGGCTTGAATACTAAAGTTCTCACCCCTTCCAACAACTCACAAGGTACACAAAGTGAGATTTATAAGGTACGGGTGTTTTTTTTTAATTAAAATTGAAATGAAAATATTTGGAACGTCAAGTGACATTGATACAAATAAAATTGATGAAGATAGGGGGAAACGCTAAACACCCGTTTAAATATGAGTAACAACCAAGAAAAGAAGATAATTATAAAATGTTTGAACTAAATCATTACACTTTCTATTGAATTATTTTTTTAAAGTTGAAAATTAAATATATGAAGTGTTTGAAGTGCACTTTGTCTTAATTTTTTTTAAGTTGAAATTGACATGTATATCCCTATAACATGAAAGCAACCTTCTCCCCGCCTTTCATGCAGTATTTTATTTTACATAAAGTGTATACGATTTTTTAAAAAAATATTAACATATTAAGTTGTTGTTATCTTATAATTAAAGCACTGGAAATTTTGTTATTTAGAAAAATATGCTCGAGTGATTTGAATTTTGATTTGAATACAGATGAGGTATTTTCGTGTAATCCGATGCTCTAGTTGGTAATAGAAGGTTTTTCTAAATACACAAGAAAAAAAATATATATAATGTAAGTAATCCCTGATACTGGCCTGGCAGTGAACCACAACATGTTATTTCTTTGTCTGCGTACTGTTATCTTTTTTTGGTGGTCAAGAGCAGTGCATATAATAATAAATAGTCCGGTTACAAAATGTGATGGTGCTGAAAATTACAGGGGTCATCATTTAAAGTTGGCAAAAAGCACGAACGTAAAGAAATTGGTGGTGTTGAAAAAAAAATAAATATGCATGCATAAATGATTAAAATTTGTATACCTTTCATAATCAGTCATGGGGAAAATCAACAATGAATAAAATTACAAAAAAATTTCAAGAGTAACGATCAGTAATATTTTTTTCAAATGAATATTGTTCAAAACTTTCAAATTGTTAGAGCATCATCCAGCTAAGTGGTATTTTAATATTTTTTTCAAATGAATATTGTTCAAAACTTTCAAATTGTTAGAGCATCATCCAGCTAAGTGGTATTTTAATTTAAAACTAAAGTATAAGATATAGTTGCTACACACTTTTCAACCTTAATTGTTCCAGATATTGTAGTTTATTATGATAATATTTTGTTTTCGGCAATAGAAGTCTTACCTTGAAAATTAAATACATTGTCTTTGGAAAGAGGAAAAAATGTATTTGCAGTGAGATATATATTTAAAAGTATTATTGGATTTCATGATTTATGTACAATTGCTTTTTATCATTATCTGATTTGGCAGGGATATATGTTAAATGTATTTGAAAATGATGTTGGAAATAAGCAAACTAAGTAAGTAAGTAAATTATTTATTATAGTGATATATATATATATATATATATATATATATATATATATATATATATATATATATATATATATATATATATATATATATATAAATTTTGCAGTATGTCTAGGAAATTTACATAAAATATCTTAAAAACCATCCAAAAACATTTAAATGTCCTATACTTAGGCTACCAGTGGGTCGGGTTCTGTCCTACTCATCCTCAGGATCGGACAGAATATCATTGGTCTGTTCAACTTGCGGTTGCTTTTTAACAATTCTGCCATTTGCTGTAATTTGAAATTATTTCATTTAAGATGGCGCGTGCATTAAGTTCGATAAGTCTTTCAGTATGGGAAATATTGCCTAACGATAAATTCAACGAATTCTGTATTACAATGTACTACTAATCACAGATCAAATCTACAGTGTACTAAATCTAATTTCAATTTCTTACTGTACTTGTCAACAGCTTAAGTACAATTTACGTGGAATAAGTATATAACTGTAATAATATTCATAAAATATGATACTAAAAACAATGAAAAAAAATATTTAGAATACATTCCTACAATCATAGAGCAGCATAGAGGCGGTAATGTTATCTTTCGTTTCATTTCATAACATCTTTAATATTTATGAAAGATGCAACAAAAATTCTCTCAAATTCACTTGTATATATTTTAAGTTTATTTTAATTTGTAAAACAAAAATAATATTCTTACAGGTGTGAGCAATAATTTCAGTTCTAAATTTATATACTAGTTTTTAGATCTTAATTACAAGAGAATTAAATGAAGAAAAAAAAGACTTGGCTATTTAAAAAAGATCAAAATTAATTTTAAAAATGTTTTATTTTATCAACAAGTGTACTTATTAATTCATTTATTTTAAGATTGTTGTTCATCTTGGTTAAAAGCTATAGTTTACCCCGAAAATGCAGTCTGAGTGTGAAAAGGTTCTCAAGTAAAATACATGCATTTTTCATACACCATCATTTACCTTTAGCAAGCTGTTTCCTTAAGCTGAAGAATTAATGAAGTTTACATGGATTTTGTGGATTATGGACGATCAATTATACGCAAAGGACACTGTGTCTGCCAATATAGGGAAACGAAAGACAACCCCCATAATTAAATTGTTAAGGTGTACGATGTATTTCCTGAAGGTAGCGTAAACAAACAGTTTCAGACAATGGAGTTTTTTGTTGCTACATGTAAGTGCATTTTTGTTGTGTGCTCAATATTTTTACCCATTTGAACATAATTTGCGAAATAGTTCATGATATTAATACACGTATCTACTTAATTTTCAAGAAAATCTACGTATATTTTGATTTTAGATATATTCCATTGCATTATACAAAAGGGCGGGTTTTAGGGATGCCCCCTGCCATTGTTTGCTTCGTCATCAATCAACCCTGTTTTATTTTATGACTTAAATGTAACATAATATAATTTTACACAGATGTTAAGTTAGGCGACACCAAAATTTCCTTAAATTCACATGTGCACAGCCCTTCCCCACGTATTTATGCATCAAATACATGTACATATTTTGAGCACATTTATTTAACTTGAATTCAAATACAATGTGGAAAATATTCCCATTTAGCTTTTACTGTGAACTTAAAAAAACAAAGCTCAAATTAGATTTTTTTCAATCATCCTAGTTAGATTTTATTTTAATTAGCGTATATACATTTAAATGTAGAAACATAATTAGAAATTAATGAACTATCTGTAATGACTATCTATGTTTATTTTAAAACAAAATCTTATTTTAATATAATTTTTTCCTATACTTTTTCCTATATGTAGGTTGTCACGACTCGTGACAAAGAACGCCTGATAATTGTCATACAGATCAATGAAACTCTTGGTTTAAAATATACAGCAATCAATATGCAATAAATAAGGCTGACATTCATATTAATCTAATGACATAAGCAAAATATTTTTCTTTTTTATACATTGGTTTTCAATTGCAAGCTAATGATAAAAGGTCTTTGATAGTTTGATGCATGACATTTTTTTATCGGTAACACTCCCTGTTTTATTTCTAAGGTGCCTAAATAATTCGTCTTCGATTATTGGATCTCTTCAGCTCATCCTTTTTTTTCCCGTAGGATATACAGTAGAAATGACCCCTGCTAAGGAAGTGGAATATTTCTAAGTCTATATTTATTTAAAAGTGAAATAAAACACAATTCGTTTCGAGATCTTGTCACATGGTCTACTACTTTCTCTCTTTTATTTATTATTCGGAAACACTTGGTTGATTCGTTCCTCTCTCCATCAGAGGATTCGGCAATTTGGAGTGATTTGGTATATTGCATCTTTGCTAGTCAAGAGTTTTCGGTCCGATCTTCTCTCCGTAAACGGCGAACAGAGCGGACCGAAAACCCTTGGTTAGCGAAGATGACATATTGTGGGTGACACTATTAATTACCTAGATCTTATCGGGGGAATATAGGGATTTATCTCCACATCCTGAGGCTAAATGTCAAATGATGTCAACAGAACCGTTTAAAGAATCAAGTGAGACATCCTATAATTCTTCTAAAGGTCAGTCAGAACATACGACAGATAGTTAGAGCTAGTTTGAACGTGTCTTAAGTACATTTAAAATAAAAACATTCTACTCAAGGTTCTATATCCTGTTTTACTTGAAAGGAAAATAAAGAGAAGTCCACTCTTTACAAACCGGAAGTCTGACGAGACTGTAGCTCTTCTGTCTTGTTCTTGTAATAAAGGAAGAGAAAAGTAGCACTTAGACTTCACACTATGGCCACACCAGTGAAACAAAATTATGATATCTGGGTTAGTTTCTTTGTGTGGCAGGTTTTAACAAAATCAGAGAAAAGCCTTTTGAAAAAAAAACCGCACAGATTTCTATTTTCGTACCTTGGCAAAACCCTTTCTTCGAAATAAGAAAACAAGAAATACACAGAAATATGTATCTTAGAGTAGTCTACTTGTGGTTTATGGTTTATTGAAATTGGACCAAAACTATAGAAGGAGAAGTGTTTTGAAAGAATTCGAAAGGTTTTTTTTCTTCTATTTTTCGTAATCATGGAAACATCGTTTCGAAATCAAAAATCCGATTATAGAATTATGTGTCTTACTAATGTACCAAGCCTTATTGGAATCAGACTAAAACTGCAGGAGAAATAGAGTTTTGAAACAAAATCAAAGAAATTTCTTTTTTAGAAAGCAAGCCAACATTAATTGTTTAAATCAAAAACTGAGAGAAAGGAACCTATACACGTGTATCTTAGTGCAGTCTACTTGTTTACCAAGTTTTATTGAAATCGGAGAAAAACGGAAGAAGTAACATTGTACAACAATATCATGAATTTTTTTTTATTTTAATTAACCAAGGCAAAAATATATTCATTCAACTCAAAAATGGAAGAAAAAATTATATGTATTTTTTAGTATAGTCTAAGTGCGAAACAAGTTTTATTGAAATCGGACAAAAACTATAGAAGTAGCATTTTGAAGGGAAAAAAAAGTGGTGCAGCAACACACATCCATTAAACAGCATGGTTCTTTTATGTACCATCTTCTTGCTGTATTTTTTTTTCCAATTATAATTTGTAAGATTTATTTGTAGTTAATATAGTTAGTTTCCTTGAAGTTGTATTGGTAATACATGTATATACATAGTCATTATGTCTCTCATTGAACCTAGTCAGATTAATATTGAACCATTGTTTGCCTGCCTTTATATCCCAGCAAATTAATATTTTGTTTAATATGTTGTCTTTTTACGTCATTTATATGATTAATTTCACTCATATTACGCTGTTCCTTTTATTTTATTGTGTACAAGATTCAGCAAAAAACTAGCTGCGAATTACCAGTTTGGACATGAACTGCACTTAAATAAAAATGTGGATATAAAAATGTTTACATACATACATGCAGATGGACAAGGAACAGCTTACCATAGCAAGAGTTCTTCTTGCCCAAGGGTCATGAAGCAGATCTTAATCTTAAGTCAACATTTATTTCTTTATAAAATGAATATGATTTTTAAACTGACCCATAAAATTAACGTACGAAATGAAAGGGGAACAATTTTCAATTACATTTCAATTTTCATTTATTTTCTTCGATAAAACTTTAAGTCAATGTACAAATTCTGACAGATCTAAAACTGCTTGATTGTGGACCAGTAGAGCTAAACAGTATCCGTCATGATGCTACAAATTCTCCCTCAAATCTAGAAATTACCACTGATTCAATTTGCTGTATTGAAAGCATATCAACAAATTCTGACTCAGTATCTATCTGGAGGACTCAACAGAAATATATGCATTAAAATAAAGCAAAGATAAATAATGATTCAGATTGCATTAAATATTCATAAATGATATCCGGATTGCAGATAAAATTCTACTAAATATTCATTATATTTAGTTGCAGTGTTTCGAAGGCATAATGTTCAATTTCAATGGTGTCTTATGTACGTATATGGTGAGAGCACAGTCACTAATTTTATTCTTCATCGAGTTCAGCCTGTGAGAAATTACAGTTTACTTAGTACACAAACTGCAATGAACCACTGTTTCAGTGGCCAATCAATATCCGTCATTCTTTCTGAACAGGAAATAAATAATTTAAAAAGTAACTATGACAACAATGTTCAACGAAATCCAAAACCTCTATGTAACTTTTGTATATTCAACGTTTGTACCAAGTTTAAACGAAATCGGACCACAACTCTAGGAGGAGTAGCATTATAAAAATATACTACTAATTATTCTCTTTTGGTAGTCATGATAACGACGTATCCCTTGGAAACACAAGAGGTGTGAGGTGCCATGGACGAGTAGGCATCCGCTGTCGACAAGTCACACCCAGCGTAGAGCCCTTGGTCGGGTAAACGGTTTAACCCGTAGTTACATTTGTGTGAAAATGATGTTCTAACAATCGGTATTAAGAAAGTCAATCAACAGTCGACCTAATGATGGGTTGTTTCTGCAAACAAGGCCACTGTAACGAATTTATATTTTGCAAAAGGTTGACTATAAAAGAGATTGTTGATTCCCTTTTTACATCAGCTTATTTGTCAGTAGCCTGTCCTGGTTTAGAAATTCATCGTATATGTTAAACATGCTCTTGTAAGTCAAATGCGAGACAAAAACAATATATTGCTACATAAATAAGGGAAAATGACGTTAGACGAGTTGATGTCATTTCATTTGTAATAAAATTTAGTTGGCACGTATGTGGTTTGCCACCAATGTTTGTTTCTAGTGCAATATCAAAATATGAAACAGATGTGTCAGACTTTGTGATGTCTTTTTTTTTGGGGGGGGGGGGGTCAGTGGGATATATAAAATCAATCTTTGAATGAAAATGAATATTGCTTAAATTGAACAAACGTCGTCGATATACATACATTTGTCGATTTTTTTGGTCTCAATTTAATTTAACCTAAAACAAAATGATGTTTCTCAAAACTTTTTTTTTGTTTTTATAAGCTGCTTTAAATACTTGAACTGTTATTCATATACACATTATTGTCTACTGTGACTGCCATTCAGCTGAAGCTTGAAGTTACAGAAAAAAAATGTTATGAAAGTTTATAGTAGCATGCTTCTTATATATCTAAAAAATACTATTAAAGAAAAAACCCAGGAATAATATCAGATTATTAGGAGATAGATCAATGAAGTACTTAATTAATACATTCCTCGGTATCAAAAAAAAGCAAATATTTAGAGAGAAACGACAAATTAAAATACATATGAAGTGTTCTCCTAAAATAACATGCAAGTGCTAATTCTTCGATGGGGAAACCTTTTTTTATCAGTCCCCGACAATCTTTGTACAAAAAAGTCAAATAACTCATGGCTACGTTCTCTGACTCGGAAAGTGTATACACCAATAACCATACATTTTGTTTTTGGACCACTATAAGTATACGGTATTCGTTGTGTTTTACGTTAAATTTCACCATCAGCTTAATGATGCTGGTACATAAACAGACGCTAAATATTATGCCGGTACATTTACAGACATCCATGAATGTCCGTCCTCATGTTTTTTGCCGGTGGTGCTTTTTCTCTTCTTCTTCCTCACACTCTTCTTAACTGATTTACTAGAAACTCCCAGCGGGGCACACATCGACAATGTTGGTCCAGGTTTTTTAGATGGCACAATTTGTTTAATCTGATAGAAAAAAAATCATTTGAATTATTTCATTTTTTTACCCAGATTACCATATTTCTCATTAAAATGTATCAGATCTTACAATGGTATATCCCTTCAAACTTTACCTGCAGAGGCGGTGTTTGAGTTTGTTGTGTTTCTTGAGAGTATGGGATTTGAGGAAGAGAAAAGACAGATCGTTTGCTAGTAGTTCGTTTGGGAGGAAGAGAGAGGATAGATCGTTTACTATTCATTCGTTCCAGAGACCCCCTGAGTGACACTGTTGAGTTGGACACATTGCTCTGTGCGGTCTGAGGGCGGGATATTTGCGATATCTCGTCTTCGAGTTCTGACAGCACTTCTACCGGAAGTTTAACGTTAAGAACTCTCTTATGATACTCTCTCCTTTTTTCTCTTTTTCTGCGCTCGGCTATTTTCCTGTTTCGTTCGGTTAAGATCTGACGCTTGACCTCTTCCACAAGTTTCCTGTTACAAGAAATAAAATGATAAGGTATTTTATGATAAAAAAAAATATCTTTGTCAACTTTCGTAAGAATTTTTTCTCAATCTTCAACATTTTATTAAGTAACCTTCCATTCAATTTCCAACGAAATGCAAAAGAAGATGGGTGAACAAGGCGTGCAGAATGCCTATAGCTTCAGATATTAAAAAATCATATTCAATTTGTGAATTAAGTATTTAAAGTAAAGTTCTCATTATTGAAATTTATGAAATTGTGATCAAAACTTTTCTGAGAAAAAAAATCTCGGAAAAAATTATTCTTATATTAAAAAAATAAAATGGTATTTGTGGGATTCGAACCCCCTAACAATAAAAATCCGGAGTACCATATTGCTTTAAGACTAACACGCAAATACTATGCTACACAGCTCCTGATGAATAGTGGCATTTAAATCATGTTTGTGTTATGACCCTTGAATATATGGACTTCAAGTATTTCCCGGAAAGATGCGAATGCATTGTCATAAAAGTGTACTTTTAAGGTATAGTGAGCCCTTGCTCCATGTTTTTGTAAACCAAAAAGTGTATATTTTTATGCAAACTTTTAGGATTAACTTTCCAAAAAATGGAGCGAAGACCCACTCATATCGAAAATTTTGTTGAAGTATGAGAAAACGATCCTTTTTGTCCTCTTTAGTGTGTGTATGCTATTTTGTAGGCAAATAATTGCAGTCTTTGTGAGAGTTTTGTAAATTGTAGAGATTTTACAAAAAGTATACTTTAATGTTAGATGAAATATCAAAGAAAATTTTGATTTAATTGAGATTTTATTTTTCACTTCATGTTTGTCCCACTATAGGCACTTCGCCCACCTTGTTCACCCATCTTCTTTATCAAACTATGTCTTAATATTATATCATTAAAAATAAAAATACGTATAATTATGTGTCAAAGTCGATTCTTTCTCTACCATTACTTAATCTAAAATTACGTATACAAACACAAATGCAGTTTTAAAATGATCCTACTTGTAATCAATTCCTCTGGAATCACCAGTTGACCTCGTAGAAATAGTTTGAGCAAGAGATTCTAGCTCATAGCGAAACAACGGCAGACCTGTTTTCTATAATTGATAAAACAAAAAAAAAATATACATGTATTGGTCAAGATTGTGCATTAAAATGAGAACGATAAAATCAAAGAATGGTGCAATATTGTTTTATAAGTAAATCATTACCTTCAGTCTATTCTTAAACTCCTTTTGAGAAACATTAATTTGCGCAGATTTATCAAATGCCCGAAGCAATTCAAGGGGACGTAATCCAACAGACTTCATGTAGGAAATGACTTTCTCCATGGCGGTTATTTCACGTTCTGAAGTCAACAGATCAAGAATGAACCAAAGAAAAAACAACAAAACCGTCAATTCTTGATGTAAATGTATGTTCTATGGCGATATACTTCCTTACTTCGAAAAAATATCAAATATAGCTTGGTCTGCAATTTAGTGACTTTTGCTAAAAATAATTTGGAATGTACACTGACCCTTTCTTTCTCCAAGAACATCGCTAGACCTGACCACTCCTCCATGTATAAACTGCAGCTTTCGCTTATTCATTAACATAATCGCCAGTAATTCGGTCTCACCAAGAACAGCAACGTCCTTAATTCAACAAAGACATCAATTAAAGTGAGTTTTATTGACGACACATGACTTGTCAATTTTTTCAAGTGATATTTTGAATATTTTGGGCGAAGTGAATCATGAAATATGGAGATAACGAACAGTAATCAAGCTCAAGGTCCATCAAAACAACATAAATCGAGAACAGAGCAAATATGGACCTCCAAAAACATCAGAGGTGGAATCAGGTGCCATGGAGGAGTAAGCATCCCCTGTCGACCGGTCACACCCGCTATGTGCTCATTGCTATGATCAGACGGACGAAGAAAAATCCGTAGACAATTCTATGTATGGAAAATATTACAAAGTCGACATGCTGCATTTTATTTAAATACACCGAAGAATTTTTTTATTCCAAAGATTTATCTAAAGGGGAAACTAGTATATCTGTGTACATATGTATTTTTTGATCAAACAGTTCATTGAAAAGAATGTTATATATAGCGTAAATAAGCCTTCAACACTCATGATCTTTCACACAAACTTAATATGTACAAGCCAATCTGTAGATTTGAAGCAGAAAATAGATCAATTAACATTTAAGAAAAAAGAACTATAACTCTTACCATAATATCAGTATAAAATAGACTCTACACCAAAACATGTTCACGAAAAGTTAGTTGTAAATAAGGCTCAGTATTTCTTTATTACAGTTAGATAAAACATGCTTTTGCTGCTATATGTACCTCACAACATATCTAAAGAATATGTATAATAGACATTAAGCAGTCCTAACATGATACCTACAATCAGGTCAAGAACACGGACTTTGCTGGTCTCACTAGACACTGCAAGCAACAGATCCATCGCTCCAGTCGTAGTCAAAGGATTGTTCCCAATCTATGAGATGAAAAATAAAACAGCATCAAAACTTAAAATGCACTCAATTTAATTTTAATTTCATTATTTTTTTAAAACAAAAGCTATGTGTGTTTTAAAGTTATATAGAAGACAACCTTTAGCACTTGAAGAGTTTTGTTTGCTGCAAGTCCTTTTGAGATGATCCATGCTCCGTTCCAGTTGATGTTGTTGTGAGTGATATCTAGTGACGTCAGCGTCGTGTTCGATTTCAGACATTTGGACACAGCTACCGAGCCGTCATAGAGGAGACCATTCCAGGCTAGATTTATGGAGGTCAGAGTTGAGTTTATCTAAAGAATTATTGTCAACATGTAACTTTTGTTCTCTATACAGTAATGTAGTTTTGATGTATTATTTCTGATAGTAAGCAGTGAAATAAATTACACAAATTTCTCAAATTCATACGTTTAAAAAATCGATCAATTTTACATTCAAATACTTTGTCTGTATGTCTTATTTGCTAAAATATTGGACAGATTGTATTTCCCTACCTCAAGGGCCTTCAGTAACCCAACTGTACCTCTACCTCTTAGCTGATTCCAGCTTAAATCTATTTCTTGTATACGCTTGTTTTCGGCTAAAATCAAATGACTCAAGTTTAGAACCGTTGTTCCAAAATGAAGCATGATATTATAGAATTCTTGAAGGTGTAAAATCGGAGGCGGTAGAATTGGCTAACCACAGATTGATCAAGATGAAAAGTTAAAGTTACCTAGAGCAGCACCTAGAGTTAGTCCACTTTCCTCGCAGAAAGCATTGTTGCTAAGATTTATTGTCAGCAAGGTCGAGTTTTTCTGAGAAAAATAAATGAAGAAGGTGGGTAGATAATTGTAATGTTACTTCAAAGAAATTCTCTTTTTGTAAAAACATTTAATGTTTGTGTGTGCGATTTGTCCTTTTGAAGATTTTTTTTTTCATTTTTATTTCATACAAATTTTTAAAGTTTATAAAATTCAACTAAACAATGTTTTAATGATATTATTTACTTCAAAACAACATGAAAGTTATATTACCGCTAATCCAGAGGCCAGGAGGTACACGGCTTTATAATCTAATTTGTTCCCTACAATACATAATTATAAGAATTAAACTATTAAGATCAATGCATGAAGGTTCAAGACATTTAATGCATCAGTTGAAATCAAAACACAATGTTTCATATCACAGTTATCTCTTCAGAGCCTCTTTAGAGCTATGTAATTTTATTTAAACTATGTATTTTGAATTTATCTTCATTGAAGCTAATGGCCGTTTTATCAATCACTTAACACCTACAACTTCATTAAATGTAATGAAGCTTATATATATGCAATTATAAAACATTAAGCAACAAGTTTAAAGGAAACATATATTTATGAAAGAAGATTCAAGGTTGGAAAATTCTTATTACTTCATTACTTGTTTATGAAAGAAGATTCAAGGTTGAAAAATTCTTATTATGCATTACATGTTTATGAAAGAAGATTCAAGGTTGGAAAATTAATTCTTATTACTTCATTACTTCAAGTTAAAACCATATTTTACTTTTCAACACGAAAATATTTAACATTAATGAAAAGGCCAGCAAGATGATTTCAAGAAATATGGATCAGAAATATTTGCAAGAACTTTGAAAAATAAATTTCACCATTACCTGACAGATCTAGATGGTGTAAAATTTTATTGTAGGCCAGTGCATGTGACAAGGTATTCATGGAGACGTAAGTTAAACCATTGCTGGATAAATTCTGTACCAAAAAGTACACAAAAATGAGGCATATTTTTAAAGAGATTGCAAGAGTCTTTTGACATTAATCCTGTTATCGACTGAAATAGTGAATATTTACAAATGTACTATTATATAATACACATTGGCTTATTATATTATTACAGATGTAGAATTTAATTGAAACAATTTGATTCTTGAAAAGGAGAATACTTACATTTTTTTAACTGAATTTGAAAAAAAAATGAATATATAACATTTATGGATACTGTTACTAACTTATGTGGAATCATATTTGATAATTTGAAGCTAAAACAAAATAATTTTCTACCCTGATAAGTTTGATGAGTATATGTCTTGCAGAAAGCTTAATCTTACCAGTCTCGATATCACAATGTTATCTCACAGACAACGTAATCTTACCAGTCTCGATATCACAATGTAATCTTACAGAAACTTTAATCTTACCAGTCTCTATATCACTTTGCTATCTTATAGAAAGCTTAATCTTACCCATTTCGATATCACTGTGTTATCTTACAGAAAGCTTAATCTAACCAGTCTCGATATCACTTTGTTATCTTACAGAAACCTTAATCTTACCAATATGGATATCACTATGTTATCTTACAGAAAGCTTAATCTTACCAATCTCGATATCACTTTGTTATCTTACCGAAAGCTTAATCTTACCCATTTCGATATCACTTTGTTATCTTACAGAAAGCTTAATCTAACCAGTCTCGATATCACTTTGTTATCTTACAGAAACCTTAATCTTACCAGTCTCGATATCACAATGTTATCTTACAGAAACCTTAATCTAACAAGTCTCGATATCACAGTGTTATCTTACAGAAACTGTGATCTTATCAGTCTCGAAATCACAATGTTGTCATGCAGAGTCCTTAATCTTACCAGTCTCGATATCACAATGTTATCGGTTAGGAGCTGAGCAACATACACACATCCTTCGTCTCTGATATCACAATGAGACAGATTAAGATTTTGTACACGGAGATTGTCCTACAAGAGTAAAATTCATGTCAGCCACTTCTTGTTTTGTGAATTAAAATATTTTACACTTTGATCGTAATAATAATAGCATTTAAAGCCACAGTTATAAAATGTCCATGGGTAGGTGGTAGGGCTGAGTATTGAGCAAAAAATATCGATACTATACGATGTTTTATAAAGCGATATACTATATACTTGATTCTTTAACAAGTCTATCAAAAAATAAATTTATTCAAAAATGAGTGATTTCTAATCCATTTCGAAGTTCTTGTTTCACTGTCATTACACAATACACTTCAAATTCAAACTTTTAATGACTGTCAAACCAACAAATTAAAATATAGTAATTTATGTACTTTGTAAATGTTTAAATCATTATTGATCAATTTTGATTCAAAACAGTTAAATTTAATCTTTGGTGATTTAAATTCTCAACTTCTTCACAAATTTATTTTAAAAAACCTGCCTGTCCGATACGTATTGGGATTTATTTTTTCGATACGATACATTCTTAAATATCGGTACGTATCGGTATATCATTATTGATACAACCCTAGTGGGGGAAAGGGGGGGGTGATTGTTTACTATAATACATGAACATATATTTTAGACCTTGAATTTTTAAATTGCTATATTAACGAAACAAAAAGATCAGATGATCATTACCACTAAAGCCACACAGAGAGGTTTAATATCCCTGGCACTGAGGCATCGATAGGCAACAGAGAGGGTCTTCTTCTCCAGCTCTTGTAGAATCCTTTTCTGAGGGGGGACGTGACCATATTTTGAACAAGCTTCAATATACCTCTGTCTACAGATAAGGTAGTCGCTCTCTCCAAAGTCATTTTCTATTAACAAAATCAATAGTAGTTGTTGACGAAGCTCTGTTTGTGATGAATCTATTATTAAAATTTGCAAAATGTGTTCTTTCTGATTAAATGAGAAACATGTTAATTGACGGAAATTAAAACTATTTTACAAAAATTGGCATATTGAGCTATTTGCTCTGTAAATAGAGGTATTGTTTTCAGAAAAGGCATGAATTCGAAACATTGTTAGCTTATTTTTTGTGTCGCCTGCAGAGCAGAGCGACACTTCGAGATCACTTTATCCGATGTCTGTCTGTCTGTCCATCTGTCTGTAACATCCTATATCCTGAGAACTGTAAGAGTTATGGATTTAATATTTTGCATATGTATAGCTTGGTACTATGGCTTTTGTAAAATACCAAGATTACCTAGCTCTTGACCTTTAATTTGAACTTAGCCTTTTAACTACTATTCAAAATAGTTCACAGAGCCGATATACAGCTTATTTTTGACAATTAAGAGGAGAGCTGTGCTATTTAGCATGTTCACTGATTGACATAAGATACAAGTATCCAGCGTGAAAGTCTACATGACCTTGACTTCCTTTGCATAAATACATCGAACCGTTGAATCAAAACCTGCCTTTTGAATTTTAAGAGGCAGTTTCGATAACTAGCATATATTTCGCATGTTTATGAGCTCATGACACTGTACTTTGAAACTTATAATATACTATTACACTTAAAAACACATACTATGAAATACATCGGGATCGGTATACCAAATTGGATCGTACTTCAAAAGCTGTATACTGACAGACAAGAAACTCTCTCTCTCTCTCTCTCTCTCTCTCTCTCTCTCTCTCTCGTCATGAATCTAGGGGTTTCTTGCAGACGACTGACGTAAGTAAATATTACTGCATATTTTAATTTTTTTTTGTATGGTAAATGGTGATTACTGAAAAAGTATCAATAATTATATAGTACATAATCTTATTTAATATGTTTATTTGATTGGATACATCATAGTAGAGATGAGAAATTACAGATATTTTTTTTATCTTAAACTATGAGAAAAATAATACCTTGTGATATATAAGAGTAATTGTTTATTTGGAAATTTAACTAATGAGAATTTTATTAATCAGCTGAATAATTCATCAATATCTGATCCATTGCTGTGTGTATTGTTTTTGTTTTCATTCAATCGTGATATTTTTAAACAGAAATATTTCACACAGGAGCCGGGATAAAGAACGGAGAGAATCGATTATTCTTTAACATGCTTTGCAAATTACTTTGAATTTCAATAAAAGATGTATAACTCACATAATTAAACGATTTTAGACTTTTATTTCAAATTCAAGGTATTTTATGGAATATTTTATTTCTAATTGCTTGTTTATATAGAAGCAAAAAAAAAATAATTTAATACATTTAGTTCTTATATTAGTTAGCAATATATTTCACTAGTTACGAGTTTCATTCTTGGTAACGATCAACTATAAATTTCAAGGGACATAAAATAGACTAATGCTAATACCTGACTATAGGATTAGATAATGCCATAAAGCTTCAGTCTCATCTCTTAATATATACACATATATAACACATATATTAAAATCGTTTATTTTAATTTATGATAATATACATAATTTTGTAATATTTTTATTAAAAGAGATTTTACTTAAAGACAACTTAAAATCTTAAAATAAAATATTCAGTCTTATTAAATTGTTTCGCAGATACCATAACTATGAGACTATTCTAACATGGATTGCAAAACATGATCTACTAGTATTTTGTGAGAATCTGAATGACTTTAAAAAAAATATTTTTTTTACCTGTTTTAAATGGACCGTCTTCTAAATCAGTGTCATAAAAGTCACTGTCGTTTCTGTCCTCTTCATTTTTCATCACAATATTTTCATTGGCCTCGTCGCTTTCATCTGAATTACTGCACGTATAGCTTTCCGTTATCTTGTTTTCTTCACCCTGTTCGTTTTTTATTTTCTCTAGCTCCTCTAAGACTGTTTGGAAATCAGTTTCTCCGAGTAATTGGGCCGTTCTGTTTTCAGTTTCATTGATATCATGGTTTTGTTCTTTGTGCATTTCTCCTTTCTCGTCTCCATCTTCAAAATCTGAGACTTGGTTTTTCTCTTCGTTGTATAACTCACTTATTCTTAAGTCGTTGGAATCATTTACCTCTGCAACTTTTGGTGAAATAGACTTTGAAACTGACATTTTAATTCTGTGAGTGATAGTTAACTGAAATTCCTACACACCTTTGGAGGATTCTGAGGCTAAATTATTGGTAATTGTATCTATTGGTTGCAGACTCATTATAAACTTGACACCCTCTTTGTCATCATTCAACTATATCGTAAACTGAAACTTTCCTAGCGACGGAGATACGTTCCAACGCTTTCATATGCATTCTCTTATTTAAAAATTCTAAATGATGAATAATTGATATCCTCTGATAATGTTTTATTGCACTCTTGTGCTTACCTATCGATATGGACTCATAAAGTGTGACAGTCCTAAACAAATTGTAACGTTAGAAGAGCAAACGGAAAAAGTAAATAAAATTTACATAAAAATTTACTTCTTAAAATTGATTATGCTCGCGACATAACAAAAGTTTTAACATTTTTGCTCAAAAATTGTCAAAGTAATCATTCTTCGTTTTGAAGAAAAAAATACAACTGAATGTTTTAAAAGCTTTTTAAAGAAGAATGTGTGATTTTCATTGGGGCGGGCGGAGAAATTTCATCTCAAAAGGGGCATAGACACTTGCATTGTTGGTTTGTTAATTGATCGTACTCAAAGCTTGCCTGAGTATCGAATAAACTGAGAGTCGTAAACACCATATGCAGATGATAGATGGATATTAGTATATAAATAAGGGAAGAAGCTGGAGTCATCTCGTTTGTCATAAAGTTAAGTTGTAAGTTGGTTCTTATCGTCTATAATCAGTAAAACATCCAAATTTGAAACAGATATGCCAGACTCTGTGGTGTCTCTTATATGCTTTCTTCTCATGTAGAATTTTTTAAATAAATTCTGCTTCATAGGAATATAAAAACAAGTGTGCTAATAAAGAAGCAAATCCTATCTTATTCTACTGTAACAATGCCTTTCTAAAGCGAGTCTATGAAAAGACAATCTATATTTCAAAAGGAGGTGAATAACATTTTATGGTAGGCTTTTTTTCCATAGACAATACTGTAATTCAAGCTAATCGGACAGGTATTTATAACCTGAACATTTTGACGGCATTTTCAAAGAAAGAATTTTAATCTAGAATGAACATATCAATAAGTCTTTGTTTTACATCTACATAGTATTGTTTGGGGTTGCTGGCATTTTGATACCAGGCATTGTTGAAGCCAAGAATTTAGAATATAGGAAGACATACATTTCTTCGTATAAACTGTTGAATATGCAATTGCAACTTTTCAAATCTTTACTTTGGAAATCATTTATTCTGCTTTTTTCTCTTTTTTGATAAATTATTTTTTTCGTCCTAGGTGTTCAAGTATTTAAAAATGCAAAAAATTACCCTCAATTTTTCATATTACTTTTATTTTCCCCAACCGGAGATACCGAAGAGATTTATAAGTTTCCTCTCTCTCTGTCCGCCTGTCTGTCGCGATCGATATTTGTCCCACTTAGTTTTCCTTACACGCTAACAGATTTTGTTAAAAGTTTTTTTTCTACACCAATGACGTTCATGTGATTTATGATACATGCATTCGTTTCTTACGGTAGACTCAATATCCATTATCACAATAAATAATTTATAATAAATAATAGAAGTATTTAACATAAAATACATGTATAAACATTTCATTAATATTATGAAAACCTTTTGGGTTTTTTTTATTTTCCAATGCATTAAAATTTTGATGTTGGTAGAATATAATAAAAACTTGAATTAAAAAAAAACATAAATGAAGTGTGGTAATTTTTATTTGAATCGATTAAAAATTATTACTATTATTATTAAAGTCAATTTATCAAAAGTGCTAAATGGAATCCCATGAAAATCGGAAAAAAATATAATATTCATGGATGAAATTGACCCAAAAAAAAGAAGAAGAAAGAAATGAAAAGAAAAGAAAGAAATTGAATGAATACAAAAATTAAGAAAATTCTTAAACTTGATATAATTCGGGTTGGAAATTTAATTTACTATTTAAGGATACATAAGAAAAAGATTGATTCATGGACTGATCGATATTTTTTGACTGATTCTGTATAAAAATGATATACCGGTACTATAATAGGTAATAAAACCCTACAATATAAAGAAATCTTTTTCTTTAGTGCTGAAATATGCAACTTTGTGCCTTTTCTATGTAAATCTATACAAAATTTTGCGCACATTTTTAAACACCATTACAAAATCTTATAAAATTCCACATTTACTCTGGCAATATTATACAGGTTACTTTGAAAAGTGGCATTTTTGAACAGGTTCAGAATTCCACTTTTAACGCTTGCAGCAATGCATAAAAGTGTTAATGAATATTTCCAAAAGTTGAAGACTTGTTGTCCTATATACGTGATAAAAATATTTGGGAAACTATCTATTACATAATTTACATATATTGCCAAGGAAACATAGTGCATGTATTTAAAAGCAACAATTTTATTCATTTATTTTGATTAGCCATGTATTCAAAAATGACTGCAACTATAAGTTGAAATGTAACCAAATAAAAGAGACAGATCTTTGTAACATATCTGAAGGAATTAACTCGCTGTATATTTTCATTTGTTTCTCTTTTTACCGAGACATCGGTGTGGTATTTTTTCCCCACATTTCAAAGAATTGAAATTTATTCTAAAAATAGCTTTAAAATGGAAATTTTAGGAATACATGTATATATGAATCTGGAAATTATTTTGTTTCCATGGATACGCGCGTTACTCAATTTGTTTGCACACACCGTTGCAGTTACAAAATTCTACATTAAATTCTACCACTAAACGACGCAAATCGTTTTCTAACTGAGGGTAGGGCAAGTCATATATATAATATAGGGCTTATTTATTTTATCGGATTTTCGAATATATTCGAATATCCCTACAGAATAATCGAATATGAATAACCGACATTTTTGACATCCATAATTTTTTTGCTGATACTGCGTTGAAATATTGTGTAACAATATTGGTAAATAAATATACATTGATGATCAATACAAGAAATCTTGATAAATGTTCTTTGTATTTATCTAATAGAGTTTCGATACTTGTTTTTTTTTTTTTATGTATAATTCTATTAACTTGCATTGTGCATTGCATTACAAATGCTAAAAAATGGTGAAAACTTAAAAGCTATATTACACTGGATTTTTAGTACTCACACACCCATTCATTCACTCATTCACTCACTTTCACTTTTTAGAATTAATATGAAATATATATTATATAACCTTAATCGTCGTTATATTGGTTCAAAAATTCTTTATTTAAATTCTGTTATTTTATTTTTCGAAATATGTCATTGCATTTATACGATTTATTAATTTTGATTATATAATTAATATTCATATCTAGCAAATGTTCTATAAATCCTCTTTCTTTATTGCTAACGAAATATTAACAGCAGTGAAGGAGAAACTTCAGCGCTGCAGTGCTGTGAAACAACATATTTGAGAAAAGTTGTTAATCAAAAGTGAATACTGAAAATCTCCCAAAAACTTTTGGAAAATTTGAAATCACAATTTTTTTTACCAAAATCAATAGCACCAAAACGTACTACTTTTCAACATTTTATAGATCAGTGTATAAAGTTTTGACATCATTGGCAACTGCAAATAATGGAACGAAAAATTTCCTCTCTTGTCTTGGTCATCTACAAACTTACTTTGTTAAAAAAAATATTTTTTTAAACAAGTACTCTGAATTTGATATTAAAAAGATGCTTCAGTTCCTTACTGACAATATCTATGTAGTCTTTGGAAGACCTTAATAATAACTAGATGCGACTGCTTGCTGCTAAGGCAACAAGTGGTCTTCCGACCGACTCTTTGCTAAAAAAATATTCTGCAATACCTCATTAGAAACATACATCAATGTGTACAAGTACAACGGACTTTCAAATATAGACCACGATTACAAGTTTTTCCTATAAAATCCATAAGGGTACTAATTGTGTTCAATTATTAGTAGACCTGTTTTTGTATTCTTATAAAGCATAACTTATTTTAAAAAGAAAGAAAGAAAGAAAAACGCCGACATGAAAAAAGTCTTGCTGTGGCATTCAGATCGACATTTAGATATATCAATGACGTTTTATCGATTAACACATTTTATTTTCATTCATACGTTGATTTGATATATCACATTTAACTCGAAATAACACATCTGCTTCATATTTGGATATTTTACAGAGAAATATATTGTTGACAAACTTACTGCTAAACTTTATGGTAAACGTGATGACTTCATGTTTTCTATTACCAGCTTCCCTTATTTATGTAGCAATATACCATTAACACCTGCATATGGAGTTAATGTACATGTCTTCCAGTTGATTCGATTTGCAAGGCCATGTTCATCTTTCGAACAATGTTTAAAACGAGGCAGACTATTGAGAAATAAGTTGATGATATAAAGATTTCACAATTTCTTTAAAAAAAAAAAAACATTTCGCAAATTCTATGGTATATACAATGACATTGTTTATAAATATCTGTCGATAGGGTGGAATATTGACTGACGTCTTTCATATAAATTGTAAGGTCATTATTTTCATACTGAATCGAGTACAGATTTTTCCGTTTATCCGATCATAACAAATGGTATTCCGCTGGCGGTGTGACCGATCGATATGGGATGCTCACTCCTCCATGGTACCTGATCCCAACTCTGATGTTTTCGGAGGTCTATGTTTTGCTCTGACCAAAATTTGTATTGTTTCATTGAATTTTTGAGCATAATTACTGTTTTTTATGTTCAGTTTTCGTATAACAGAAAATATAATTGTACAACGATACAATTTTTAAAAAGTTAGCTTGTTAAACCTGCAAAAAGAAAAAAAAGACGTCTATAATAATTTAGCTTTGCGAATTTTTCTCTGAATTTCAATTGTAATAAAAACGATATGTGTTACATGTTCGGGTTACGCAGATGACATTGAGATCGATACCAGACACGCAGGTATGTAATATAGCAGTTTAAACTGATTACATAACGTTTTACCTTTACCAGGGATTTTGGCACACCCTTAATGTGCCAATGGGTAACATCTTTGTTTAACTTTTTGTATATAACTTGAAAAAATCTCAAATTTTTAAGAATTATTTTAAAATAAAATAAGAACTGTTGATGTTTATTGACATAGGGAATTATGTCATACAACCGACCTGAGATAAAATGTTGCCTATTGAGAGAAATGCACAAAACATTGAGAGATACTAATATTAAAATACTTCAGGTATGTCTCTACCTAAAGCAGTAAACAGGTAATATTGATTCTAGTGGTTATAAGAAAAATTATTTTCATGATTTCTGATTTATACGTCTATAATATTGCATAAAAAACTCTTACTGTCATGTAAGATCTCTGTATAACCATATGTAATGTCTTTTGTATATTAACATTCTCTTTTTCTTTATTTTTTCTTATAAAAGCTCTAAATTCCATAAAAGCAGATGGATCCTCATAACATTGAAGATTACCCACGTTGTGATCTGTGCAAAAGTGAAGCCGTTCATAGTCATTGCAACATTTGTCAACTCCATGTCTGCAAGACTTGTGTGGGGGAACATCTTTCTGATTTGTCCATGAAACACAAAGTTATGCCATACCAACAATGGATATCTACTCCTCAACATCCAAAATGTTCAGAACATGTGAATGAGTCATGTAAGCTTTACTGTGAAAAGTGTAAAAATCCCATTTGTGTGCAATGTGTTGACTCTAGAAACCATGATGGGCATAAAATATTAACGAGTGAGAAAGTGTTTGAAGTATGCAAAGTGAAATTAAGAAAAGAATTACAGGAATTAGAAAAAAATATATATCCAAAGTACGAAAAAGAAGCTCATGATTTTTATTCGGAAAATGCCAAATTTGAAGAGGATTTTAAAAACTTGAAAGATGCTATCACAACGCAGGGTGAAGCATGGCGTGCAGAAATTGATACTATAGTCGGAAAGCACCAATCAGAACTTGTTAAATTAAAAGACAAATACACTTCTGCTATCCGGGAATATGATGATAAAATTAAAGGTTCTATGTCTGCTTTAAACAAATACATACTTGATTTGAAGAAAATACTAGAATCACACGACATGTCTCCAGTTTTTACACACAATTCAAGAAATGAAGAATTTAGCGAATTACCCTGTAAACTGACAATTTCCTTGCCAAGGTTTTCGCCAAGAAAAATAGACAATCAACAACTTCTTGAACAGTTTGGTTCTTTGTCACGTTTATTAACTACAACGGAATGAAGTGTTCAGATTAGTGGATTGGAGACCTTATAATATTTACTGCAATAAATCTGATGATTTTCTTGTTTTCATGTATGGTGATGACTTTACACAGTCGAAGATCGTCCGTTATTCTTGCTCCAAAGAGACCAAAATGACCAAAGAGAAACTAACCATCCAATTTGATGATAAAGACAATTCGTTGTTCTCCATGCATGACACCAAATACATCTGTGAGAACAGAAACCTGGATTTATGTGTGGCTGACCATGACGCTCGAGCAATAGTAGTAGTAAATCAATCCGGAAAGCTAAGATTAAGATATACGGGTCTTTACTTTACCACCAAACAAGAGCCCTTTGAGCCTCGTGGAATTACTACAGATAGCAAGAGTCATATCTTAATAGCAGACCATAGTAATGAGTGCATTCACGTCCTAGATCAGAATGGACAGTTCCTACGTTATATAGATAACTGTGGTCTTCGTACTCCGTGGGGCTTATGTGTAGATACCATTGACAATCTCATTGTATCAGAGTCCTCTTATCGCACAGTAAAGAAGATAAGATATAAAAAGACTCCACAGCAGAATGTTACTATGTGCGAGTACGTCATAACATAACGAAATAAAGTAAAACTATGTTTGCAATTTTTTTGCGTTGAGTACATTCTTTTGCAAAATCAATTTAATTGTAAGGAATAAAAGAAACAGAAAACGACATGAGACCGTTTCAAGTAGTTTTCTGACCAAATGCGTGTAATGAAATACGTTTTTTTTTTTTTATCGAAGGGGTTAAGAAAGGTGTAGCCAATATATGTTTGTTTGTTTGTTTGTTGTTTAACGTCCCTCTCGAGAATTTTTTTACTCAAGTGGATACGCCACCACATGCCGCTGGAGAGCTGCAAATTTTGACCTATGCTCGGCACTGAGGGCCATTGAGCAGTGAGGGATCTTTTTCGTGTCAGCATCTACTGCGACACGGGACTTCGGTTTATACGGTCTCATCCGAAGAAGAGGTCTCCACGTCCCACAGTGGGATTCGAATCCGCGACGTAAGGATCAATTCCTTACTTTGCGACTCTAGAGCAGACGCTCTACCACTGCGCCACGCGGGCGACTTGTAGCCAATATAAGAAGTGAGGGAAACAAAAATTGAAATCTCGGCACCAAGCACCAAATAAAAAACTGTGTCCGCTGGAACACAATTGAAACTTTTTTAAAGGTATGACTAATGCCATTAAGTTTCTAGGCTAAAAGTAATTCATGTTTCGTAAGATTCCGCAGTGTGGCTACTTAGGAGTCCTCGAACCCACAATGCAATCTAATTAAAATTGGTCTCTTATTGAAATGTAGATCTCATTTCAGATTCATCTTTCATTCTGTCAGTCAGGTATCCACTTCTAAACCATAGGTGTGACTATCAGAACGCATTCGGGAAGCAATAGGTTAATACGGTAAATATGTAAATAAAAAGTTCATTTGGTACTTTTGCCATATAATTTCTCGTGTCAGTCTCATTCTCATCGGCAAATGTCATAGTGACATATATGGAGATAACGAACAGTATTCAAGCTCAAAAGTCCATTAAACAATATAAATTAGGAGCAGAGCAAACACGGACCTCCAAAACATCAGAGGTGGGATCAGGTGCCATGGAGGAGTGAGCGTCCCCTGCCGACCGGTCACACCCGCCGTGTGCTCCTTGTCATGATCGGTTAGGAGTAAAGAAAGAGGCTTGGTTGAACATTTTCTGGAACCCGCTATGTATCTTTGTAAGGATTTTTATGAAGTTTCGGAATCCAATATAGATATGGTAATTCAAATTCATTTTGGTTGTTTGGAATATTAAAAATATTCAAAACTGACATATGATTTTGAAGAATTTCTTCCTTAGAAAGGGAACTATGAGTATAAGTTGGATTATCCACTTGTAGAATTAAATCCAAGTTCCTCTAAAATACATTTAATATAATGAGCCTTACAAACAAAGACAATGTTGTTACTTGCTTTGTCAGCAGGGACCAGTACGTACTGATCATGTAATCTATCCAATTCTTTTTTCACTTCTGGATTATTGAATACAGGAGGATAGATGGTTCTCATAATGCTCATCAATCTTTTAATGCGCGATTTTAAGATACATCTGATACATTTAATCCATTCTGACAAAGTGCCAATGTCTTCTTTTTCATGTCTGACCCAACGCCTGTCGTAATCTATACAGAATCCATAATATGTATGAAATTCCGACGCCAGTTGAAGGATCGGGGTTTCCTATATTTAGGACCTTTTTAAATTAGTGATTTAAGGTCCTCATTATTAACTATATTTACGTCACAAGTAATAACGTGTCCAGCAGGACTATAGTTATAGGATGAAGAAGAACATGAACACGATGGAGGATTATGTTTCAGATATTCGATATCCAGACCCTGTAAAGCTTTCTTGTAACTAAAAAGTTTGGAAGCAATAGTCGATGTATATTTGTAGGAAATGCAAGGTGTAGTCTTGGTGGAATACAAGACTGGACCCTTTTGTGATTAAGAATATTACTTATATTAAGCGCGTCAATTCCTTTGTTGGCATATTGAAGTTTAAGGAAAAAACGGATTGTTTTAGCTGCATTTTCTTCAGTATAACGCGGGGGTTTAAAAAGCCTATGATTTGCAATATCCATAATCACAGATCCGAGCCTATATTCTGGTGACAAGGAATCAAAATGGACTTTCCTTGACCTTTTCAAGAAGACTATATTAAAGTTTCAAAGGGACAGAGTAAAGTTTGGTGTAAATAAGATGTAGACCTAACTGTTGATTTACGTAAGGTAGTAATGAATCGAAAGAGACATCGTGTATTAAAGGTTTATTGTAAGACTGATGCCCATGACTACGCTTACGTCTCTGTGTATGGTTAAAAAGTCCCATCACATTTACATTGTTACATTGTTGACTGGAAAGATTTCCAACACTATCGACATTGTCATTACATCCATAGGGAAAGGTTTGTCCCTAGTTTTCTAATCCAAAATTCTTCTCGTTTTCTACGGAAAGGTGTACTCAGTGATGGGCTGTTTGTGTGGTGGTAAATCTTTTCTAGAGTTCTAACTTTCATTGACAAAATAGAATGATCAGGTAAATTAAAATGCTTGTAGTTCAGTCTAAGATTGACCAAAGTGAGCAGAACAAAGGATTTAATTTTAATAAGAATGATGCAGCTGAAACTTAATGAAACATGACGTGGTTTTGGTGATATTCAAAAGATGTTTGAGTTCCTCAATCTCTGTCGTCTTTTGAGACGAGGTCTTTCGAATATTGCTTGGAATTCCCATGGGTACTAATTGAGCCCCCTTTCTAAGCAGAACCTATTCAAAAACTACTATATGATTAGATGAAATTTCTTACAATGAACTTCAAGTCAACATCTAGATATATTGATGAATGTCATCACTCATTAATATTCATTTCTATTTATACGTAGATTCGATATATCCCACTTAACTCGAAATAAAACACCGCAAAGTATGGCACATATCCATCATATCTGGATATTTTACTAGAGATACACACTGAAGGCAAACTAACAACTAATTTAAGGATAATTTTAATTTTAACGAATTTAACCGTTGACTTTTCCTACTTATGTAGCAATATACCATTATCACCTGCATGTTATGTTTATCTCATCCAGTTCATTCGATACGCAAGACCATGTTTTACCTTCGAAAATTCTATGGCCGATGAAATGTCAATGTTTCAAATTTAACCTATTATTAGGTCAAATGTTAACTGACGTTTTCTTTAAACAATTTTTTGGGCCTTATTTTCTCTACGGATTACTTCGTTCACCCTATCAAGACAGAGGGTTCCTACTCCACATTTGCACCTGATCCTACCTCTTATGTTGATCAGGTGTCCATGTTCGCTCTGCTCTGGATTTGTATAATTAAATTGGACATTTTAGTATAATTACTGTCCGTTATCCCTCCTTATTTTTGCACAGAAATCTAGAAAAGATTTTATTTGTGTACATCTTGCATTGAAAATTTCACTAATATTTTCATGCCAAAGATAATTAACTCTGAACAGTTACTTCAATAGTCCGTTTCTCTTTCATTTGTGAGATTTTACAACAGAAAGAGCAAAAGGTGTAAATATTCTGACTGCTTCAAATAAACAGGTGCTTTAGAGGTGCTTCATACTTCTCCATGGCACCTCCGCCTCTGATGTTTTTAGAGGTCCCTGTTTGCTATGCTCCAGATAAGTATTGTTTTAAAATAGATTTTTGAGCTTGATTACTGTTGGTTTTAACATATTTCATTAAAAAAAATATGTAGAACGTTTAGTACAATGTTGTCTTCTTAAATGATGAAGAAACCTGGACATATAACTTCAAACACCATGGATCAAACACAAACATTTAGATTCTGAATATCTGGATGCATCATGAAATATGGAGATAACGAACAGTATTCAAGCTCAAAGTCCATTAAAACTATAAAAATCGGCAGAGCAAACACAGACCTCCAAAAACATCAGAAGTGGGACCAGGTGCCATGAAGGAGTGGGCATCCCCTGCCGACCGGTCACACCCGCCATGTGTTCTTTGTCATGATCGGGAAATAACGGAAAAATCCGCCGACAATTCAGTGTGTAAATAATGGCCTAACAAATAGTTTGAAAAATGTCAGTCAGCATATGACTTAATGATAGTTTGTATTTGCTGACAGTCATTGTATCGCCCATAGAACTTACGAAATGATGACTTTAAACGAGACTGTTGATATTCTTGTTTCATCAACTTTTTTGTCAATAATTTACCTCGTTTTAGAAATTGTTCATACGTAGAGCATTCTCTTGTGTATCGAATTAACTGAAAGATGTACACCCCATATGCAGGTGATAAGAGTATATTGCTGCATAAGTAAGGTAAGTTGACGATTGAAAAGTTAAAGTCATCACGTTTATCATAAAGCTATGTTGTAAGATTACAATTAACGTCTTTTTCAAGTAAAATATCCAAATATGAAACAGATGTGTCAGACTCTGTGATATCTTTTATTTCAAGCTCACTGGGGTATATATATCGTGTCGAAATATGAATGGAAAAAACTCTTGTTAATTGATAATACGTCGTCGATATATCTAAATGTCGAGTTGAAGGTCCACAGTAAGAGATTTCTTTTTCTTATGTATAAGATTTTAAATAAATTCTGCTTCATATGAATACAAAAATAGGCCTGCTAACAATGGGGCGCAATTGGTACCCATGGGAATTCCAACAGATTGTTGGAAGACCTGGTCTCCAAAAACCATAAAGATATTATCAATCAAAAACTCAAACATCTTTTTAATATCAACTTCAGTGTATTTGTGTGTACAATCAGATTTTTTCGAACAAAATAATTTTGCAAATGACCAACGACAAGGTAAGTAAATTTACGAGTTTCATTTTTATAGAAAAGGCAGCTGTCAATTATGTCAAAAGTCCTGGACTTTAATTTATCGTGGGGAATGGTACAGAGTTGAAAAGTCGTAAGTTTTTATGTTATTGATTTTGGTAAAATTTTGTGATTTCGAATTTTCCAAAAGTTCCTTAGATTTTTTTTTCAAGTATCCATCTCTGATTTATACCACTTCTCGAACATATTG